TAGCTGTTAAGAATCAGGAGAAAGCCATCCAAAGCAGCATGCAGGGAGAATAAAAGTGGCAATTTCATTTCACCTCTCTGCCAGCCTGGGTTTTCAAAAGCAACACATGATCCTCTTGCCTTCTGAGGCTTTTATTTGGGGGAACGAGGAGGAATCTTGCAATTGCTCAGTGCTTATTTTGCTGATGAAAATACAGAATCATTAAGGTTGGAAAGGACCTCTGAGATCATCGAGTCCAACCGTTAACCTAACTGCCAGGTCCACCTCTAAACCACGTCCCTAAGCACCACATATGTATGATGGCACTAAGTTTCTCCTGACAGGGGAGACATTCTGTGGAAATCGTAAATCTGGGAAAAGAGAAGTCAAACTCTTAACTACTCAGTGAAATTTTAAGACAAATCAATAATTTTAATTTCATAATATCATCAAATATTTTCACAATTAAAATGATGATATAATTATAGATGATATATGAAAAAGTACAATAATTCATGGCAGGAAAAGCAATGACCGGAACCTGCTGAAACAGAAGGCAAAAGGAAGCATGAGGAAGACGGCTTTCTGAAAAGATGGAAACAAGCACATTTCCTAAAATCTGTTCACCCAAGTGCCCATTTTTACCAAATACTGAAAAATATAATACTCCTGTTTTCTGTATGCTGTAAACAGAAGATCACTTACATGTGTCTGTAATTTAATTACACCATTGATCTGTAGCCACTTTAAGAAGGAAGCCTGTAATAACAGCATGCAAGGGTGGACCATTAACATTTTCTCCAGAACAGGTAGGCCAGTGCTTCATTCAAACCTCACGAAGGCCACACAGCTAAAAGAGAAAACTGTTTCTTTTAAAGGTGTACGTTCACACTTGGGAAAATATCAAGTGTTTTTGCAAGGCCAGACACTTTTTCATGCAACTTATGTAAAACCCACACTGAAGGGATAATTTTGGCAGCTTCATTTGTTATAGTTACACAGATGGAATCCTCCACCTCTAGAGACACCAGTCTAAAATCCAAATATTCTTAAATATAATACCTTGTCAGAACTTGTCTGATACCCCTGGGGACTCAATTAATTTACATGACAGTATTTCTGTCACTACTAGACTTACATCATAATATTTAAAGGCTCCTATCTATACACTTCTCAGGCCTTGGAAGGAACCATCCACTTGTCTTATTCCTTAAATGGAAGTATCTTTCTACTTGATGTATCCCTTTCTGTAGGATTACAGCCTGAAGGAATGCTCCACTGACAATCAAATAGCAGCAAAATATGAAATCCAACGGTCATGTTCCAAAATAACACTTTTGTGGGGAAACAGTGACATCCAGTGGCCATTAAGTAAACCTGAATTCCTGCTGCTAAGAAAAACAGCCTCTATAGGAAATTCTTCAAAAGTAGCAAAAAGGAGCTGCAAGCATACCCTTGTGAGAATTACAGTCACTCACCTACTGTTTGTATCAAATAGTTAACAGAAACGTGTCTAATTTAAAAACTCAAGTTCCAAATAAGGCTGGTTTTGATGACGCAGCGATGTTCCATAGATACAAAATTGTGCAGCCAAGGATCTTTGAATGCAGCTACTATGCAATGCCTTTGGAACTGCAGACAAGACTGGAAAAATACTGAGGTATTCCCAGTGTTTCTCTGCCTTAACCCTCACTTTCCCTATATGATTACGCTTTGGGGCAGTTGCTACCACAGCAAAATGCTAAATGTATCCAAAACCCAGTATAACGGGGTTATCTCATTTGACTTCAATTTTTTTAAAAGCACTAAAGATGAAACCCCTGAAATCTTCGAATTTTAATTTTTTTTAAAGAGAGGACAAACTAGAAATTAACTGAAGCTATAAGAAATAACACAAAGGCCAGCCACAAAGCTCTGGCTGCGGCAGGATTAAAAGATGCTATCAGAATCTGTTGTCTATACGGGAGCATTAGGATTATTCCATTTTAATAGCATATAGATTCTGGCTAAAGCCTATTAAATTCTTATTTTAGTGATGAATAGCTGGCTTGAAGCAGATTGAATTGGGTTACCACCACATTATAAGAAAAACAACTGTTCTATCTTAACAACATCAATGATTCATATTGCCTGATACTTTCTTAGTCTTTTGTTCAGAACTTCTTCAGTGTAAACAATGCATGTTACGCAAATTCATATTTCCTCGTCATTTATATACATTTCCCCAATTCACATCATTTAGGAGAAATTGCAAAGATTTCTCTTTATTAATGAAGAAATCCCTTGCAGTCATCTCTTCCAGCCAGTGACTGTCACCTCTCCGTTAGCTGGGGGACCAGAACCCCCATAACCCAGCTCCTGCAAGAGAAGCAGAAGCCCAGCACCAGTGGCCCTGTGTCCTCGCAGTGACCCACCTGAGAGCCCGGCTCCGTACTTCACCCAGGGTAGTGCTGCGACACGACAGCATCTGGGGATTTCACTCCTTGTACTCTGGCTTTGAGGATGTGCCGTTCTGTGCCATTTCTAGTAAGCCAGTTAATTTTCAGCACAAGCCTCACCTAAGGAAATCTTCCTACAGGCCTGGGGAAAACCGCACACAGACACGTTCCGTTTCACACCATCAGCTCAGGCTGCCTGAACTAGGCCTGAGCTGCTCCCCACAGCCACGAAATGCCTGAACATCACCCCCTCTTCCCAGCGCTTGTTACCTCAGGTGCAACGTCAGGCAAAAGCGGGCTCCACGCATGGCTTCGCTTACGAACCATCCACAAACAGGACCACCACAAGTACCAGCAGAGGCAATGGTTCAACACAGGTTTGGCTTGGGCGGAACAAAGCTAGAGCGAGCACGCACCGGGAAGCTGGTGCGGACCTGCTCAGACAGCTACACCTCACGTTCCCAAGGTCCCTGTCCTTGCAGAGCAGACCAGACCCCAAAGACAGCTCTGCACAAAGCCCACTGCACCTAACATTGCCTAGCGAGTCCGAGTTCCACACCGTATTTGAGCAACGCTTCTGCAACAGCTCTCATTCAGTAACTGACTGGAGAAAAGGTACCTGCCATTTACAGACCTGTATCTAAAACAACGCAAACTGCACTGCAGCCTCCACTATCTGACCAGTTAGTGCCCGTACCTGTTACCATACAGCAGAGCTTAATTATTGGAAGAGCTTGAGAAAGGACATCTCTTAAATATGAGCCAGGGAAGACAAAGCCGCTAGTTTTACCATGGAGCAAATCATCAGCAGAAAAAGCTAAGTAATGTAAATTTATTCAGTGCTGTGTCTCCTCTGGGCTAGAAATTGCTCAGGGAGTTTATACACCGCTGAGCAGACAGTGAGCTACGAGGCATCCGGCGAGCAGCGATTGAATCGGAGAATGGCGGAGGTTGGAAGGAAGCCCTGGAGGTCACCTTCCCCAGCTCTCCTGCTCACCCAGGGCCACCTAGAGCTGGTTGCCCGAACCACATCCAGATGGCTTTTGAGTATCTCCAAGGCAGGAGTCTCCGCAGCCTCTCTGGGCAACGTGCCTAGGGGGCTAAACTGGAAAAAGCAGAAGCTGGCTAAGTGGCTAAACTGCAAAAAGCATAAAATCAAGGAAAGGCAAAAGAAGCAATTGCAAGAAACCTTGAGTAATCTGAGGAAAGTATCTCTTATGGCAGAAACAGTTCACAGAACTTCAGATTTCTGCTAGCACAGCTACATATAGTAGACAGGGAAGCAAGCCCTGCTGCTAGAAAAGACAACCAAAAACCAAACCTATCACAGTTATAACCATCAAAACCACACTGAACTTCGTTACAATGTGCAGTTTTCTATGGAAACAGTAGCGTAACACCTTGGCCGTGACTGCACACCAACCCATGCTAAGAATGCACTGCTAATACAAGTGCGTTACTACAGACCGACGGTAACATTAAATTAAAGCTGAAATTTAAGAGGGACAAACTTTCACAGCAACACTGCAGACAAAAAAAAAGTTAACCAAGATGCTGTACGATACAAGGTTATCAGTAAAAAGCAAAGTGCCCCAGCACAGGAAGGCTGTGCGCAGATGGATGCCGACTCCCACGTCAAGTTAAGCAGCTGTCAAAATGCAAGGACGAAGACACCGACAGCCACGAGCCTCAGAACCCAGTTAAGCTTCTGTGAAAGGGGACACGGATTATTACCCCCACCACCACACAGCTGAGCTAAACCACTCTAACCCCCCGCTGCAAGCCTCCCAGCACCTGTGTGGGTCTCTCCTTAACCCACCCCATTTAAAAAAAAAAAAGCAAGCCAGACTTCAGTGGGAATCCCCTAGCTTTTGGTATTAAATTATTGTGGAAAAAACCTTTACTTAAACCAGAAGTTGTTCTACTGCTCAGCCACATACTGCCATTGAGTATTGGGGTTTTCACTGGAGCCAATACATTCAGGCAGTCTTCCCACAACCTGCACCCTGTCCCCACAATCTGCTTCCCCAGATCACACCTTCCATGCACATCAGCCATCCAGAGAAACACCCCACATTCACCTCTATAAAATTTACTTCCAACAGGCCATCACTGGCATAAACAATAGACTTTCCACTCAAAAAACAGAATACTCCTCCTCATGTGTGCTCACACAGCCCCCCCTGCCCCCCAAGAATACTGAAGCTCAAGTCACTTCATGGCAGTGCCACGCCACGGAACACTGCACTCACCTCAGGACTAGCGGAGTCATTTAAACACACAACCACGGACCAAAACCCACCCCACCATACAGACAGTCACACCACCTTTATTTGGTTTGTGGCTTTCTGGGGTCTTTAAGAGACCGTATTAGTCTTCCTGGAAATGTGTTGTGTTAAACTCTAGGAAGAAGAAATAACATAGTATTAGTGCTTAAATTAAGACTTTAATCCAGATCTGTTTCATCCACAAGGTCCTCATTGTACATGCAAAGAGGCTTACACTGCCAAGGAACAAAGCCAAAGTAAGCATATCACTTATTCACCAGTTTTACTAGCTTGAACTGACACAAACTACAAACCATAATGTGCAACAGAAAACTTTATTAGCATTTCCACAGACAATTGTTCAGCTGTTACTTAAGCTTGCATTACCCTTGCATTTAACTTAAGACATTAAAGAACTACAGTGCAAACACAAGTGCTATTTGCGATCTCGCCAAGCAAGATGCACATTAACTTAACAGCCACCCCTGAGGCGCAGCACAAGATGCAGGGTGGACTCCTTCTGGATGTTGTAGTCGGAGAGAGTGCGACCATCTTCCAGCTGCTTGCCAGCAAAGATCAGCCTCTGCTGATCGGGGGGAATGCCTTCCTTGTCCTGGATCTTGGCCTTCACATTCTCAATGGTGTCACTGGGCTCAACCTCCAGGGTGATGGTCTTGCCAGTCAGGGTCTTCACAAAGATCTGCATTTTGAACTGCAAAACATATAAAAGCTTCAACTTTAGCTACTTAGTGAAACACTATCTTTAACGATTTTGAAATAAAGGGGTTACTGCTGCTATTTCATACTATATAAATAGCAGATCCTGGTTTTATTTTCTTATTCTTAATGTTTTCTACAACCATTCTCCCACACCTCCCTCTTAACGGATTAAACCTCTTTTTAAGACTATGCTACGATCCTATAACCGATTCCTTACGCTGCCGCTCACCAATCGGCTCCTAGATCCCCCTTGCCCCCCCCGCAGCAATGCGGCAGCGGGACGCGCCGCCGCCCCCGCACAGCCGCTGCGGGACCTCACGGTGGCGAACTGCGACAACAGCGCCGGGCTGCTCCCCCCAGGCAGTGACTCAGCAACCCGCTTCCGAGGCGGACAGCCACAGCCTCCGCCATCTTCACCCTAACGCTACCTCCTTCTCGTATGCGAACGATTTTATTCCTTTCCCCCCCCCTCCCTGCCCAGGTCTCAGCCACTTGGTTCAGAGTAAAACGAGACTGTGCTCAATCCCTTCCCCTCCCACCCCCACCAAAAAACACTGCCCGGCAGACACCCACCCCCCGCCTCGTACCCTCCTGCCCCGAAAAACCGTCCTGTTTTATCCCTTCCAGCCCTCCCAAACTCTCCCACCGTTCGACTCACGTCTCCGGCCCTGAACGCCTCTCGCCAACGACGCGGCTATGCCCCACCGCAACGGTAACCGACTGCGTCACCCACCGCCGCCCGTATTTATGGCGTTCTCGCTTAGCAGTCCCCGCCCCCGTAAGATGACGTGTCCATCCGCCTCCCAAAGTAGTCCCAAGTAAAAGACCACTGTTGTGAAAAATACTCGCCTTTCTCCCTCTCTAATCTCTCTTCCAGGGGGAAAAGGGGTCCTGGAGTCTTCGTGTGGGGCCTCAGACCCTTAAAAATCTGGAAATTTCTGAGGGCGCGGATGGATCTGGCGACACGGTGAAGCGGTTCGCGGCCAGCACGGGAAGTTGGGCGTTGATTGGTGCGGCGGTCAGGAGAGCGGGTGTTGATTGGCTGATGCGGGGGGAAGCCAGAGACGGGCGGGGCGGGCGGCTGCCACGGAAAGCTCTGGAAGATTCGAGTGCCGCTGGGCGCTGATTGGTGCGCGGTGAGGTCAGCGCTGTTGCTAGGGTGGAGCCGCCGGGCGGAGGCAGATTTCAGCGAGGAGGGGGCGGCGCGCATGCGGGTTAGCGGCGTTGCTCGGGCGGGAGAGGCCCCCGGAGCCCTGCGGGGTGGCGTCGGGGTTGGTGCTGGGGGGCTTTTTTAGCCTCCGTGTCACAGCCCCGGGCCTGGCACGGATCGGGGGAACAGTGCCCCGGAGAAAGAGGGGTTACCCTTGGCGCCAGCTTTTTTGTTGACCCACAGAGAGAGCAGCGCATCTGACTGACCCCCTTCCCTGGGGCGGCGTGAAGCATTTATGGCAGAGCCTGGAATAGGCTGTAGGGCTACCCTTGTCGTTTGTGGCCGTAAGGAAAAGCTGGGAAGAGCAGAAGTGAGTTAGCAAAGCTGAAAAAAAGATGTTATTTAGAAATCTGGCAAACGTCGGTGACTGCTGGTGCGTCAGGCCTGTCACGCGGCCCATTTCCTGAGCAGGCCTTTGAACCAGCTTCAGCCGGCTGACTGACAACTTAATTCTTTAATGTGAGGCTGCAAAACAACCCCTGTGATGAAATGCTGACATTGGAAATGCAAATGGCTGTTTACTTGCTTTCAGAACAGGAAGCTTTGATCAGGTTATGGAGCAACTTCCTTCTGTGAACTGAACATATGGAAATGCGCTTCATGTTAATTAACCTTCATTATACCCTTCATGCTGTCACTTCACTCATATCATATTACACAAAATCGAGAAGGGTTTTTATGTGGAAGTGTTTTACCTGCTGCTAGCTCCTTCAGTGAAGCCAGATAAACTTGCTGTTAAATCCTCCACTCACAAAGCATGAGCACGCATGTGAATGGTAGGATTCAGTACAGAGCTACTCTATTTCCCCCTTAAAAAAAGAAAAAACCAAAACCACCAAAAAAACCCAACAACAACAAAACCCTTTTGCTTTCCTTTCTCCTAACAAGGCTTGTGTCTGCTAGCATCTCCTAGTTTACAGTAAAAACAACGTCAGTCATCCCAACAATAGTTATTCATAATGTAGAAACAGGAAGAGAGGAAAAGGGTAACTGGAAAGTTCAGAGACAGCTCCATGGCAATAACCAACCTTGGAAATGTTATTCAGCTACATAAATTTAGGACAAAAGGCAGATTTAGGCAATATCACATTTGTTTTCTTTATGCTGCCAGTTTTGCTCAGTGTTTCCAATAGGTTCGTTTTGTTTGCTTGGTGCCAGGGTCACTAAATGTTTGCTCCAAGGCTGGCCTGCGTATGCTGTACATCCCAGGCACTGCTCCAGGAGCTGTGTCCCCCAGCCAGTGTCACGGAGTCCTGAGAGGAAAGCCACGAGTAACTAATATTTACAGATGTGAAAGGCCACATCTGTTAAGCTGGAGATTAACCACAGTCTAATCTAAAGACTGGCCTGTATTTGGGCACATCAGACTTGTATTAAGGATTTTAGTGTGCATGTCTTTGTTTTTTAATGTCCCTCTAGATGGAGAAGGAGAAATTTCTGTCTTTTTTTTTCTTTTTTCCTTTCTGTGTAAACCAGAAAACACAGGAGCCCTCCCTTGTTTTTTTCTAAGTATGGCTAAATCCTGTGACTAATTTGCCTTCGCTATTGTTATTTGGTTTCTGTTTAAGTATTCAAATCAACGGATCAGAACAAAGTCCCAAAGATGGGCCTACCATGGGTAGTTCTTTAAATACCTTGTTAATAATGGCTCCTGAAAAATTCATTCTTCAGGGAAATGACGTTACCCAAAGCAAGCACAGGCAGCAACATGCTGACATCGAATGCAGACTCCATTTTAAAAACAATTATGGATTAAATTAATCAATTCCATGCAAAAAGCCTCATTATTTTCCTCAGTTATCCCTCTGTCAAAAAGAGAGAAACAGAAGAGTTAGGCTTTGTGCACACAACTCCAGGGCCTAGCAGAATTAAACTAATCTCCATAGCCTGCAGGCAAGCTGCTCTACACAGGCCACCATTAGCATTTTGCAGCCTCCACTGATTAGATTCATTTAATTCTCCTAACTATTAATCTGCGATAGCCATCTACATGCCTGTACAGAGCCCACCTCTTTTGTTTTGGGGCGGTGGGCTGAATACAGAGAGCTGCTTAAATACCTCTTTTCCTGTCCCTTGGCTTTTTCTGTGTGGTAAACTCATGCCCTGAATGTTACACACTTCATATCTGCATAGATTCTTTATACTACGTCAATGCTAATTATTATCAAGCTGAAAGGTACTTCTTTTTAAAGTCAGAATGCAGTGTTTATATATTGCAGGCTGGATTCTGCCTCATTTTCACACGTTATATGTACAGAACAATCTCCCAAACTGGAGGTGATGGCCTTCTGACTTCATTTTACCGAATTTCAGCTTTACCTCAGAATTTCTTTAGGAAATATTTTACTACCTGAATTTGATACAAAGGAGATCTGTTAATTCTTAGATGGTGTGGTAACTGTTGTGGTTGTACAAAGCATATGTATTTCACAGACATGCCACACTCCCTGCAGTAGCTCTTGGTGAATAAGAATCGCCAAGCAGCTGACTGTCAACTGTATATAAATAAATGCAAAGCTGAAAAAACAGAAATCTGTATCTTGTGACTGGCCTGACTGCACAGGTGGTTCCAGCCTTTGCCAGGGCACGGGGCCTGCAGTTGGGAACACGTATTGCTTTCCAAGTGGTTTCAAAAGTAGGTCATTGGGCAGTAGTACAAAGCAACCTACTTTCAGAAGAGAAGGATCTGGGGTCAGAGAAATGTTTCCAACGAATCTGTACATTCTAGAACACAAGCTGGGTCTGTTTTTTACGTACACTAATGTCCTAGCAACAGCGTATCATTTCTACATGAGCGATGTCAAATAAAGCAATCTGTTTATCTTTAGTTACAAGGGTTTAACTTGGGACAGCCAGCCAGTCTGGCGGTTTGAGTATGTGTAACAAGTTCAGTACTGTTCCTTGTGCAGATAAACACAGGGCCGCTTGCCACAGGGAAAAAACAATGTATATTTCTATCTCATAATATTACTCATACCTACCTCAGGTCTCTTGCACGGTGTATGACACAGGATAATTACATTTACCTATTTACAGTTGTGGAGATAAATATTTATCCCCAAACCTGTAACACTGCAATGAGGCCCAGGCACAACTTCTGCTGAAGTTCCAGCCACAAGACAAATAGAGCTGTGGCATGTTACTGCTTGTCCGTGTACTGCCAAGCTCAAAGGTTACAAAAATAGTGAGTCACAATTCCAAGTACTGTGAGATTAACTAATATTATGAGATTACCAAAAAAAGACAACTATCTGAGTTTTGTTTTTTAAGCCTTATGCTAAAAATACCTTAAATAAACAAAGTTTTTAATAAGCTACTAACTTCAGGAGCTGAAAGCTTAAGAAAAACAAATAGATATCCAGATTTGTAGTGAAAAGAGGAGAATGAGCAGTAAGCCTCTGTCTCCCTGTTTGTTTAAAGCATATTTTGACTTCGCAGGACACATGGGATACAGCTTTAAGATCTGTGCTGCCACAGCAAACAGGCTTGGGCATGTCTTTCTCTGTAAGTCTAAATGACCCAGAGGAACATGTGGCAATTCACTATGCTTCTGATGTAAGGAGACTTCTAAAGGGCATTTTATAAAGACACCATCAGCCTAAAATCACAGGTTTGTGTCTGCATGTCTTGCGAGTGAAAGCAACAATTAATAACTAGGTCTATTCTAAAAATTACTTGTCTGCATCTTTTCAGTCTGCCTCCTGCCTGTGAGTCTTTTGGATCTGATCCAAGCTGCACTGCAGTGAAGGAGCTCTCTTTGTTCATGTTCTCTCTGCTGCGTCGGAGCTGATTTAGCATGTGGTTTCTGGGGTGAGGTTCTTCAGCAACCTTGAAAAACAGAAAGAGGAAACAAGTCCTAAACTGCTGTTAATCGTTATTAATATGTTTCAACAGAACCTCTCTAACAGTGAACAAAAACAAATGCTGTCAAGGCCATTCTGAACAGCCTTCGTCCGCTGGCCCAGAGGCGATACCTCCTGTATTCTGTCTTCAGATCCAGCTCGGATCCCTTGATGCCGAGGAGAATGTCCAGAATGCTTCCCCCTCCACAACAGCAAGACTAAAATCCAAGCACTGACATTTCTCTCCCCTGCACGAACTATGTAATTTTAACTACCTCAGTTCTTTTAAGTGTGGTGTTAGCTATTACACTACTTCTAGTTCCCTGCTTATTAGATGAAAAGCATCCACAGCTCATAATTCTCTTTAACCCACAAACACGTAGCTGCTTTCAGTGCTGTTTTTGCAATGAAAATGCCCTTACAGACAGAATCTCAATGCGGGCTGCAAGCCAGGTCTGCAGAGCTGAGTCATTGTTATACAAGCCGAGCTGAGATGGCACAGAAAAACACCTTTGTACTTTTTACACGTCATTACATTAAAACACGTCAGCTGTTGAGCTGCGAATATCACAAGACACCTAAAGAGAATAAACAGTGATTTACTGGACTTTTCCTCTT